TATCTGCATGTGTGGGTGTGTGCTTTTCTGTATTTGCCCCTATGAACATGAACTGTTTCCATATTCATTAAAATATAATTAAGACCTGGCAATGTCTTCAGAAATAATCAGTGTGAGAGCAACTCAGCACTTCTAAAAAGGAAATGAGGCAGAGAGAAGAGTGTCTTTTGTTAGTAAAATAATGCTGCTCTTCACAGAGTAACAACATCTCCAAGGTAAGGCTTTCAGAAAGGGTCCTTTCTGTGCCTGGCCACCCTTCTGGGTTAATTAATGGCTGGATGAGGCCTTCATCCAAAGCCCACGTGCACCTCACTGGGAGATGCTGACGTGGCAGGAAAGGAGACCAGCCCTGGAGTTAACACCAAAACAGTCCGTGCTCTTCCCAAGGCCTCCCGAGTGGCCATGGGGCCTCTTTCCAATGCTCTGTACTTGTCACCCTAAGCCCTCTGCACATCTTCTCAGCCTGCCAATGAGGAATACTCAGAAACAAGCCCTCCTCAGAATGCTGAACCTACTAACAGCAAACCACTGCTTAGAAGCCTCCACCACCAGTCAGACGATGGACATTAAGACAAACAGCACAATTTTCCTTTAACATTTCTTCTCCCCTCTACATAGTTAGATGCAAATTCACATTCCCAAGGTTTCAAAGCAGACTGTTTTGGGAGACTGTGACAGCTATTGCATGCACATACCAGTAATTTTCTAATGACTGTGGTCTTTAGGCTAACGCTTCCACTTAGTTTGTAAGTTAATTTACAGTTTTAATTTTCTCTAAGACCGAGAGGCTGGAAACAGCCTCTCCATAAAGAGCACTAGGCCTTCAAACAAATTTCAGGAAAGTACACGGGTTGGCCACGAAGCCTCTAAAACACTGTGATTTGTACCCACATATGCAGGATTTATTTTGACCTTGATGGTTCTCTTTCCTTAGGTTGAGTCATGAGCAAGGTCACTTACTTGTTTCTCACATATAATGTGGTTTCTGTTTGAAAATTCCACCCAGTGGCTTTCTCTGTAGATAAAAAGGGAGGCAATGCCTCATGCACTGAGGCAGCTTGGATCTCAGAAGTCTTGGTGTTCCAGCATTTTTTGATGTATCAATTTAAATGAATGACAACACAAGAATATTTTTTAAAGACAAGCACTCCAAGCACTGTGAGCCAAACTATTGGATGAGACTCTAACATCCTCATGTTTATGTCAGCAAACATAGGAATAGCATTTACTAACCAAATGGTCAGCAGATTAAATTTCCATGGCCCCAACACTGATAGGATTTAAAATATAAAATCAAATACCGACAACAGCAGTGAGTCGGGTTTGTCAGTCAGGGTACCACGGACCTTTGGGGCCCTATAAATCTTCCCTGTGATGCTGCCCTGGGCACTGGAGGGGGCCGAGCAGCACACTCCGGCCCCACCCACTAGATGCCAGGGGCATCTCCCCGAGAACCCCCAAGTTAGGGTGGTTTCCTAGGTCCAGAGCCACCCTCTGTACATGCAGGAAGGCCCTCAGGTTCCCGAGCCTTGCCTCCCTGACCATCTGCGGTGCCTGCTGTAAGCACCCACAACTTGGATCCTGTCTTAGCCAGACCACAGGCCTCACACAGCTGCCCTTCCAGGGGTCTTCCATCTCAACAGGCAAAGTCAGAAAAGGCAGCAACAGACCACCCGGTCAGCACACTGTGGCCTCCAGGCTAACCCCCACCTGCGGCTTCCTTTGGTAAAGCCTGTGAGCTACAAAGGATTTTTACATTTTTAAATGGCTGAAAAGAAAATCTAAAGTATCCAAGTTTGTGACCCATGAAATTGATACACCATTCAAATTGTCAGTGTCTATAAATAAAGTTTTATTGGCACTTAGCCATGTTCGTTAATTCACTGTAGGATCCACAGCTGCTTTCACACCGAAAGAGCAGAGGTGAGGGATTTCAACCGACACCTGGCCCCCATCGCCTACGCTACTTACTCACTCTCTGGCCCTTGACAGACAACACGAGCCCCCCCCCCCCCAACACCCCTAATCCCCTGTTCTCTGTTTTCACAACTCTGGGGAAGATTTCCCCATCTCTACATGAGGGTACAATGGCCTTGTCCCTTCCTGGCTTGAAAGCTTCCTGCCTGGTAACTACAATGTGGATCCTCCCTGTGAACACATGAACTACTTTAAAATCGACAGTCAAGAAAATACCACCGCCATGTTCTGCTGGGAATGGCTCCCAAAGAGGGGACATGTTGATACTAGTAGGTCTGGGGGAAACAGGTATTAGCCCTCAATTTCTGATGCACAGTGCCCAATACTGAGGGGAGAGGGCACGTGCTTTCCCTATGACTACGGGTGTTACTGACGATGCGCCAGAGATGCTGTGGTAGGTAACTACCAGAGTGCGATTTCCCACCATGATCCTAAATGACCAAGCTGCATAATGACTTATCAAAGGCTACAGAAAAATCCAAAGTCCCATATCTATAAAGCTAAACTCCAATGCCTCACAGAGCAGGACACAATTCAATTCAATGGAGGCTGATGTTCCCTCAGTACTGAATTAATGCCCACTCAAAACACTGAGCAACTGACCTCCTCTTCCATCTTCCCTCTAACACTTGGAATACGGTCCTACAGCATTTTGAAAAATACTGATGGATGGCAGGCTGCCACTCTAGAAAGGTCTGATTGTTCATCAAAGTGTTAAACAGAATTACCCTTTGACCTAGAAATTCTACTCCAGGTATATACCCAACAGAAATGAAGATGCAGAGCTGCACAGAAATGTTCACTGCAGCATACTCATAAAAACCAAAAGGCAGATACACCCAAATGTCCATTAATTGATGACTAGATAAAGAAAAGGTGGCATATCCATACAATGGAATGTAAGTCAGCCATAAAAAAGAAGATTCATGCTAAACATGGCTGAACCTTGAAGGGACGCTAAGTTAAAGCCAGTCACGAACTCAACTTCATTAACATTTTATAAATTTTTGTTTTTACTAATGACACTTCAAATGTTTAAGTAAACTGTCAAAGTCTTCTATATGCTTACTTTGTGAAAACAATCTTTGTGTATTTGGTTTAAAAAATCCTCCTAAATAAGATCCTGTTTTATTTAAATTTAGTTGTATCATTTTAGTTCTGTTTGTTTCTTTTAAAACAATGAAGCAAAAATCTACCCTAAATCTCCATCTGTATGTTTTTTTTCCTAGTCTGTTTATTTTTGTTTGTTTGTTTTTCTTTTCTTTCTTTTTTTCTTTGAGAGGGCATCTCTCATATTTATTGATCAAATGGTTGTTAACAACAATAAAATTCTGTATAGGGGACTCAATGCACAATCATTTATCAACCCCAAACCTAATTCTCAACAGTCTCCAATCTTCTGAAGCATAACGAACAAGTTCTTATATGGTGAATAAGTGCTTACATAGTGAATAAGTTCTTACATGGCGAACAGTGCAAGGGCAGTCATATCACAGAAACTTTCGGTTTTGATCACGCATCATGAACTATGAACAATCAAGTCAGATATGATTATTCATTTGATTTTTATACTTGATTTATAAGTGAATCCCACATTTCTCCCGTAATTTTTTTTTTTAGTAAAATGCTGAGTTGGCAGGTAGATGCAAGATAAAGGTCGAAAAACATAATTTAGTGCTGTAAGAGGGCAAATGTAGATGATCAGGTCTGTGCCTATAGACTAAGAATTAATCCAAGCTAGACAAGGGCAACAAAATATCCATGGATGCAGAAGATTTCTCTCAAAACGGGGTGGGGGGGGCGGGGAGGGGCTGAGGTTCTAAGCCTCACCTCTGTTGATCCTCAATTTCTCACCTGATGGCCCCCCTGCGACTGTGCCTGTCTTAGGTTGTTCCTCCCTTGAGGAATCTTACCCATCTCTGGCTAACCAGCCATCTTCTGGGGCCATACAGGGAAATGTAAAGTTGGTAAGTGAGAGAGAAGCAATATTCTTTGAATAGGTTAGCTTTTTACTTCTTTGCAGATATATGCCCTGTGGCTTCTATGCCCAGCATTTGTCTTGATGTATCTTTACCACTTGGAAGAATTTAATTTGTCTGATTTTTCTCAAACTATTCAAATTCAGTTAGACAATATCCACCATATTATTGATAAGTTTTTACAAATGCCTAGGATACTTAACTGGTTTTCTTAGTTTCACTGGATATGGCTGGTAATCGTAGGTCTGCTTTTGTTATGTATCTGTATTCCTATTCTGTTAATGTGTGTACGCAATTTAATTAGTAGTTGTTAAAACCTATACATGCTTATGTTACTCTACAAGAAATAATTAATCTTCTCATGCTTTCTTCCATCTGCTATTTCTATAGCTTTTTTTCTTCCTTCCTAATTACAACCCTATAGTAGAATTCGTGCCTCACATCTGTATGTTTTTAAAATCATAAAAGTTCTGCATTTTTTCTCAAAAACATAACAAAATGAAAAGGAAATACTAAAATCCCATCTACTAAAAGGGAATGTTTTACAGAACTTATTCTTGGTGGCAGGGGGCTGTTCATCTGTTTTAGTTTGGGATGTGGACTCCAACACCTACCCACCCATGATTGTTTGGTTTGCTCTTCTGGGTATGTTACTCATCTCATTAGACAGATAAATAGTAATCTATGTATTTTTCTAATAACTTTCAAGGTTAACTAGAAAATCAATCTGCAAAGAGATATGAATCATATTAAGAAACCAACAGAGCACAGAATTATGATGGGAAAACAAATAAATCCATACTCATGTACCCAATTATAATTAATCTTTCAGCTTAATTTTAACTCACGATTGAAGAGTGAATTGATTTTATTTGAAAAGAGGGATTGATTTTAGAAGGAGGCATCTTCTCCTGGCAAGACCCAGAAAAGTCTGCAATAGCTGGTTCAGTAGCCGAAATTCTTAGAAGGCAATAAAAGGCTGATTCATCATGTAGAATTGACTACATATAGCCCATAATGATTTAAACATGCTGTATCTATTACCTTCAGTTTCAGCAAGGAGAAAGGCCTGCAACTTCCCTCTGAAAAAAACATTTAAAAATAGAACATGTTCAGTTTTGGCAAAACACAGTTTTTCTTCTCAAACAGATCTTGGCAGAAGGACAAAGATCCAGGGTGGGGTGGTGGGGGGCATACCTTTATGGTGACTTCACATGTGGACCTTTGGACCAGTCAGCATCTGACCATACAGACTGCCAAGTGTCTGCCAAGACCTGGTGGGGTGAGAAACAGGAACATTTGAACATAAACAAACAACGACTTTAAAATTTCTCAGGAATTATTCCTGCTAACCTCTCTTCCAATTGATGTTTCCTCTTTCTGGTCAATGACATTGCTTTCTCTTTCATCCCAACTGAAACTTATTTTACTGTCTCATAATTTCCATCTTAAACTTTAACCCACACTATGTAGTTTTACATGTAAAGTGAAAAAAGGAGCAATTAAAATGGCCAGTTGGTATTATTATGTGTAGAAATTCTGGGAGGAGAAGCCAAGATGGTGTCGTGAGTAGGGTAGTGGAAATCTCCTTCCAGAACCATACATATTTTTGAAAATACAACAAGTACAACTATTCCTAAAAGAGAGAACAGTGGATATAGTAAAACAGCAAGGCTGCATCTACACCTGTGAGAACTAAGCATCTCACGAAGGGGGTAAGATACAAGCCAAGACCAGGCAGAACCTGAGTCAGAGCAGGGAGGGAGTGAAAGCCCAGGATTGCTAAACAACCAGCTTTAATAACCTGCACCAGGAGTGCAGACACACAGTGCAGAGTGTGCTGCATATCAGAGAAATGTAAAAGCAAAATCTGTGAGTGGGTCCCCACAACCAGGTCCCCTGGGACAAAAGAAAAGTGAGTGCTTTTTGAAAGTCTTAAAGGGACAGGGACCTCAGAGCTGGATGGAATCGTCCTGGCACACCCAGCACAGCAGCTGGGAATTCTGGTGAACTCAAGGCACCCTAACCCTCTGGGCAGCACAGCTCTGAAGCCCCTCACAGCAACAAGCAGCCAACCCACTGTTCACCCAGCCAGCACGGCCCCTGACACAGTGGTGCAGTAGCCTGAGAGAGGCGGCAGTGGAATGGCTTGGGAGTGGGCACATGAGCCAGTGGCAGCAGCAGCTGAGCATGCCTGTGGTAGCAGCGGAGCAGCCCGGGAGCAGCCGTGTCCCCAGTAGCCACCCAGAATCTCCTCCTGGTGCACAGCTGCCTGGGCCAGAGATAAAGGCTGCTGCCAGTGTGCAGCTGCCCAGCACAAGAAGAAGAAACCAGAACAAGGTGCGAAGGGGTGCCACGCTTGGAGAAGAGCACATCCGGCACGCCTGTCACTCCCCAAAGGGCTCTGAGCTACCCAGATGCTGACTCCACCATGGTAGCTTAGGGGATTAACCTGGAGGCTGCTCCAGGAGTGCATGTAACCAACAAATGTAGAAGAGAAGGGCAAGGTAACCAGCAAACAGGAAAGGACTTTGTTCTCCCAGCTGACACATGCCTACAGCTACCTGCCTACAGCCATGAAAAGGCAGAAGAATCTGGTCCAGTCCAGAATTACCCAGACAACCCTGGAGAGGACGTGGGGAGATAGATATAACCAATATTCCTGAAAAAGACTTCAAAATAAAGGTCATAACCATGCTGATGGACCTGCAGAGAAATATACAAGAGCTAAAGGAGCAAATAGGGAGGGAGAATACAGAAATAAACCAATCTCTGGAAGGACTTAAGAGCAGACTGGATGAGGTGCAAGAGGCCATTAATGAAATAGAAATCAGAGAACAGAAGAACAGAGTAGCTGAGGCAGAGAGACAAAAGGATTTCCAGGAATGAAAGAATATTAAGAGAACTGTGCGATCAATTCAAATGGAACAATATTCACATTATAGGAGTACCAGAAGAAGAAGAGAGAGAAAAAGGGATAGAAAGTATCTTTGAAGAAATAATTGCTGAAAAGTTCCTAAAATTGGGGGAGGAAATAGTCTCTCATACCATGGAGGCCCACAGAACTCCCAACACAAGGGACCCAAGGAGGACAACACCAAGACATATAATAATTAAAATGTCAAAGATCAAGGACAATGACAGAGTATTAAAGGCAACCAGAGAGAGAAAAAAGGTCACCTACAAAGGAAAACCCATTAGGCTATCATCAGACTTCTCAACAGAAAAACCTTAAAGCCAGAAAAGAATGGCATGATATATTTAATGCAATGAAACAGAAGGGCCTTGAACCAAGGATACTGTATCCAGCAAGATTATCATTTAAATATTAAGGAGGGATTAAACAATTCCCAGGCAAGCAGAAGTTTAGGGAATTTGCCTCCCTCAAACCACCTCTACAGAATTTTTTAAAGGGACTACTCTAGATGGAAGCACTCCTAAGGCTAAATAGATGTCAACAGAGAAAATAAAATCACAGCAAAGAAAGCAGACCAATGAAATACTAACTAAAGGCAAAAAATAAAACCAACTACTCACAAAAGCAGTCAAAGGAAACACAAAAGAGTATAAAATAAACCTCAACATATAAAGATTAGAGGAGGAGAAATAAGGGATGGAAAAAATCATCAGACTGTGCTAACAATAGCTAAATAAGTGAGTTAAGTTAGACAGATAGTAAAGAAGCTAACCTTGAACCTTTGGTAACAACAAATCTAAAGCCTGCAATGGTAACAAGCACATATCTCTCAATAATCATCTTAAATGTAAAAAGACTGAATGCACCAATCAGAAGACACAGAGTAACAGTATGGATAAAAAAGCAACACCCATCCATACGCTGCTTACAAGAGACTCACCTCAAACCCAAACACGTGCACAGACCAAAAGTCAAGGGATGGAGAAAGATATTTCATGCAAACAATAGGGAGCAAAAAACAGGTGTAGCAGTTCTGGTATGAGTCAAAATAGACTTCAAAACGAAAGAAACAAGAGATAAAGAAGGACATTATATAATGATAAAGGGCTCAGTCCAACAAGAGGTTATAACCAATATAAAAGAATATGCACCCAATACAGCAGCATTAACAGATGTGAAACAAATATTAACAGAATTAAAGGAGGAAATAGAATGCAATGCATTTGTTCTAGGAGACTTCAACACACAACTCACTCCAAAGAACAGATCCACCAGACAGAAAATAAGTAAGGATACAGAGACACTGAAAAACACTAGAACAGATGGACTTAAGAGACATCTACAGAACTCTACACATAAAATCAGTAGAATACACATTCTTCTCAAGTGCACATGGAACATTTTTCCAGAATAGACCACATATGAGGTCACAAAAAGAGACTCAGTAAATTAAAAAAGATTGAAATTCAACCAACCAACTTCTCAGACCAGAAAGGCATAAAACTAGAAATAAATTATACAAACAGAAACAGAAAACACAAACACATAGAAGGCTTAACAACATGTTTCTAAATAATCAATGGATCAACGACTAAATTAAAAGAGATCAAGCAATATATAGACACAAATGACAATGGCAGCATAAAGCCCCAACTTCTGTGGGACGCAGCAAAGGCAGTTCTAAGAGGAAAGTATACAGCAATTCACCTACTTAAAGAAGGAAGAGCAATTCCAAATGAATAGTCTAAACGCCCAATTTTTGAAACTGAAAAAAGAACAAATGAGGTCCAAAGTCACCAGAAGGAGGGACATAATAAAGATCAGAGAAGAAATAAATAAAATTGAGAATAATAAAACAATAGAAAATTTCAGTGTGCAGAAATTCTGCAAGGGAAGATGATCAAAGTAAATACATTTAATGTTACCTCACATATTGCTGCTACTATAATTTAATGATAATTAATGCCCATTTGAAATATCCTTGCCTTAGGGGTTGTATCAGAGGCAACCAATAAATCCAACTGTACACACCCTAAAGAAATTTTTTACACATCGCTGGAGGTAACATTTTCAATAACCATGGCATGCATGTTTGTGTGTATATACTATACACCCACTCTCTAATGTTGTGCTCATAAAAACATAGAGCAACATTAGAACATTTTTTTCCTTCTCTGGCTTCCTTAAAATGAAGCAGAAGAAAGGCACTGATGAAGGTCTCAATGCTTCCATCCATTTCCATTTTACAGAGGTGCTGTAATTTGCACTGATTTCTGAAGAAGCCAGACTTACAGCTGCCAAGATCATCCTCTACATCAGAAACTTGTTGCTATTTTCCAGTCCATGTAAAATAAACATGAAGCAATATTTATTTAATGATATTTACCTTGTTGAAAAAATTTCGTTGGCTGGGAATGAATCCAACCTCCTGAAGTTTAAATTATCTCCTATCATTGACAAGCTCAAGAATGAAGGAATGAAATGCCCACCATTTTCTCTAAATTTTCATTCAGTAGTCTTGAGTGATAATAAAAAGGTGCCAGTTTTAATGTAACTCAAACCCACAAGAAAAGCTATGAATGAAGGTTTACTTATTAGTGAATTTATTTATTTATTCATATTTTATATATTTATTTATTTTGAGGGGGCATCTCTCATATTTATTGATCAAATGGTTGTTAACAACAATAAAATTCTGTATAGGGGACTCGATGTACAATCATTTATCAACCCCAAACCTAATTCTCAACAGTCTCCAATCTTCTGAAGCATAACGAACAAGTTCTTACATGGCGAACATGTTCTTACTTAGTGAATAAGTTCTTACATGGTGAACAGTGCAAGGGCAGTCATATCAAAGAAACTTTTGGTTTTGATCACGCATCATTAACTATGAAAAATCAACTCAGATGATTATTCATTTGATTTTTATACTTCATTTATACATGAATCCCACATTTCTCCCTTATTATTATTACTACTATTATTATTATTATTATTTTAATAAAATGATGAAGTGGTAGGTAGATTCAAGATGAACAGAGAAAACATAATTTAGTGCTGTAAGAGGGCAAATGAAGATGATCAGGTCTGTGCCTATAGACTAAGAATTAATCCAAGCTAGACAAGGGCAACAAAACATCCATGGATGCAGAAGATTACTCTCAAAATAGGAGGGTGAGGTTCAAAGCCTCACCTCTGTTGATCCCCAATTTCTCACCTGATGCCCCCCCCCTGCAACTGTGCCTGTCTTAGGTTGTTCCTCCCTTGAGGAATCTTACCCATCTCTGGCTAACCAGCCATCTACTGCAGCCATACAGGGAAATGTAAAATTGGTAAGTGAGAGAGAAGCAATAT